CATGTTTTTCTGTTTTTTCCACTTCATCCGTTTTTTTTTTATTTTTTTTCTTTTTTCTATTTTTTTTGTCCACGATTTTTATTTTTTTCCGTGGTTTTTCACTTTTTTCATGTCTTTGTCTTTCCGTGTTTTTCCACATTTTTTACGTTTTCCATGTTTCTCCACTTTTTGCCATGTCCTCTCACTTTTTCCATGTTTTCCATTTTTTTCCATGTTTCTCCACGTTTTCCATGTTTTGTCACTTTTTTTTAATATTTTTCCACTTTCTCCATGTTTTGTCGCATTTTTCATACTTTCCATTTTGACAATTTTTCCTCTCCACTTTTTAATGATTTGTCACTGTTTCCTTCTTTTTCTACTTTGTCCTTGTTTTTCTACTTTGTCCTTGTTTTTCCACTTTGTCCTTGTTTGGCCACTTTTCAATGATTGCTTTCCACTTTGTCCATGTTTTATCACCTTCTTCATGTTTTGTCACTTTCCGTATTTTTCCACCTTCTCCATGTTTTGTTGCATTTTTTATAACTTGCCATTTTGCCAATTTTTCCTCTTTTTTCCACTTTTTTTCATGATTTGTCACTTTTTCCATGGTTTCCACTTAGTCCATGTTTTGTCAATTTTTCCATATTTTTCCACCTTCTCCATGTTTTGTTGCATTTTTCATAACTTGCCATTTTGCCAATTTTTCCTCTTTTTTCCACTTTTTTCATGATTTGTCACTTTTTCCATGGTTTCCACTTAGTCCATGTTTTGTCAATTTTTCCATATTTTTCCACCTTCTTCATGTTTTGTTGCATTTTTTATAACTTGCCATTTTGCCAATTTTTCCTCTTTTTTCCACTTTTTTCATGATTTGTCACTTTTTCCATGTTTTCCACTTAGTCCATGTTTTGTCACTTTTTCCATATTTTTCTACCCTCTCCATGTTTTGTTGCATTTTTTATAACTTGCCATTTTGCCAATTTTTCCTCTTTTTTCCACTTTTTTCATGATTTGTCACTTTTTCCATGGTTTCCACTTAGTCCATGTTTTGTCAATTTTTCCGTATTTTTCCACCTTCTCCATGTTTTGTTGCATTTTTTATAACTTGCCATTTTGCCAATTTTCCTCTTTTTTCCACTTTTTTCATGATTTGTCACTTTTTCCATGGTTTCCACTTAGTCCATGTTTTGTCAATTTTTCCGTATTTTTCCACCTTCTCCATGTTTGTTGCATTTTTCATAACTTGCCATTTTGCCAATTTTTTCTCTTTTTCCCACTTTTTTCATGTTTTGTCACTAATTCCATATTTTCCCACTCTCTCCATGTTTTTTTCGCATTTTTCATGATTTGCCATTTTTTCTATTTTTTCCATCTTTTTGTCGATTTTTCCATATTTTTGTCACTTTTTCCATATTTTTGTAATTTTTTCCATATTTTACCACTTTCTCCATGTTTTTTCGCCTTTTTCATAATTTGCCATTTTTGCAAGTTTTTCTCTTTTTTCATGTTTTTTTCTTGTTTTTTCGTTTAAGAATAAGAATATATTTATTTGTCAAAATTCTTTCCATATTTGTCCAAAATGATTCTAGACAGTTCTTAATGATTATGTAGCGTTTAAAATAGTTCCAAAAACATTTAGAACTGTCTAGAATCATTTGGAACTCTCCAAAATCCTATATTATCTGTATTTATTTATTTATTTCATGTTTAGATTGTGGGATATAGAATGCGGAGCGTTCTAAATGATTCTGGACCGTTCTAAATTTTTAAAGACAGTTCTCAATAATTCTATACCGTTCTTAATCGTCCTGAAGCGTTCTAAATGATCCTAAACTGTTCTAATTCATTCTGGATCGTTTTAAATGGTTCCACAAATATTTAGAACTCTCCAGGAATCTACTAAAATACATCAATTTATATACTGTGTCATTTATAAAATGCCACATATGGACTCCTGTTAAAAAAAATGTTAAATAGAAATATTTAAAATAAGAACAGGCTTATTTGAGATATAAATTTATTTTTATTTAAATAAAAGCTCCGACAATTAATTGTCGATTTTAACAACTCAAAATCTCGTTAGTAGGTAGAACC